TGGAACAAGCACAGATGCCTGTAGCATTCAAATTTCATCAAACGGTTAATGCTAATAATATAGTAAGAAGATAGCAACACCTGTTTGATCGAATGTAAGGAATCTGATGTTCCTGAAGAAAAATCCGGGGTTCAGCTCGATTTAACTTCGAATATAATCGGAACTCCGAACGCCGTGAGTGTTTGACGAAAAAGAAGATTAAAGGTAAGGAGAAAACAAACAGACTAACCAGATGAAATAAGCAACACGACGACTAAAAATCCGAACTTGAACCAAGAAGTTTTCTCCATTATGAAATTGAGTTAGACTGTAGATATGGTACTGTTGAATTTAAACATACTCGGCTCGTTTACAACCCTAACTCCAACTGATAACTTTTTTCGGTTCTGATTTATAACATTTTGTTCTCCGCTTTTAATCTATTACTTTTTTATTGGTCACGCATTTATCAACCTTATTTTAGGTGCCTCACAACAGAACTTCTTGTTATAGACAACTTGTTTTGTACAAGGCATCTTCATCTAGTTCTGTTTCCATTACACGGTCGACATTGTTGCCTCATCCAATGAGAAAGCTGGAGAAGAAACTCAAGTTAAGATAGAAGGATTGCACTAGTATATATTATCAAGTCATATCAGATATCTGACGAATACAAAAAAACTTTATCACGTGTGGTTGCAGACAATGATAGAGAAAAATTAATAGTATCAAATTAGAAGTAATTTATACAAATTAACTAAATTATTTATTTATTTATTTTAAAATAAAAGATTTTATCTTTTAATCATTAAAAAATGTCAATGTTGGAAAGTCACTATATAAATGTATAAATTATTATTTACGAGATATATATTGAGAACATTCTAAAATAATATATATCTAAAAATATTGTAAAATAATATAGATATTTGTAATATTTGATATTACATTAGAATTACTTATAAAAAATTTCAACATTTATAAGATTAATGGCTAAAATGTTGACATGTATCAACAATCTAATAAACACTAAAATCTATAAATAAGAGATGAGATTTATCATTGTTACTAGAGTAGTGAAGAGTGTAAAAAGTGTGTTAGAGCAAGAGAACTTATAGGTAGTAAAAAAATAATGGTGTAAGTGTGTTATATTACAATTGTATTGTGTATTAATAAAAGTGTTACATTCGAATTTTCTTATGATAATTACATATTTTAATAGTTTTGTCCACCCATAAATTTTTGTTGTGTAATCTTTTATCAAAATTTTATGTGATTAATATATATGAGCATTCACCTTGAAAAATTTTACGTAATCTCTTTCACGATCTGCCTGAGTACCGGATTATCATTATTCACCGAATGCTGACATTTAACAAAATGCTCGTTATCATCTATACCATCCTGCTTTAATATCGGTTTCTTGTTGGCTTCACTTATGTGCTTATCGCTCTTATTTTGCCTCCTAATGACCATGGGCATGAGCAGACTTCCGCCCGCTAATAATAATTGTGTTAATCTTTTTCTAAATACAGTAACTACAAAAGTTAAAACAATAAAGCCAAATGTAATTAGAAACAACAAAATGAATATGAAGAGGAGTGGTGTACAGTAGGTGTTTAGTTACCCTAGGAAGCTGAAGAAGTTGTGTTTGATAGAATAAAAACCCATGAAGTAATTGAATTATTATCATTAATAAAATCATTTCACACATGGATTGATAAGTACAAATCTTGCACAAATAATTATCGATTATGTATTTACTAATTGTCAATTAATTATTTTTAATTGACAACCAATTAATTAACAATGTTAATTTAACTATCAATTTAATACTCGAAAATATTTTATCATCGTCGTGATATAAGTGAAATAAAATACTTGATGGATTAATATGTAATTACACAGAAATATACTATTAATTATTAATTAATAGTATAGATGTGTATAATACATTGTATAGTGTGAGAGTGAGTGAGTGCGATAATTATGTTGCAATATAAATGGACGAACCAGGTTTGAGGGAGTGGGTGAGGGCATTGATGATTGCAATGGGGATTTAGTTGTGTGGGCCTTTCCTTTCCCCACAAATGTCTAATAATTTCAAACCCACAATAATTTTTTTTTATGTTACAATGTTTCACTATGATTAATTTGAATCGGTCTGTGTCGTACATTTAATTTTGACAAGTGAGTATTGTAATAGAATTTTTTAGATACACAATGACTCAAATTCGAGACCTTACTTAGACGATATCACTTACCCTCGATATCATTAATTCAACCCTCAATCATTGAATCATGACCTTACGCGCCCCAATCATTCAAACCCCAAACCCCATTTGTCCCCCCAACACACCTTTTAATGATTTTTTTAAATGTTCCAACACCAAAACATAGCTTTCTTCCCAATCTGGTTCATAATCTTCTATTTTAATTAATCATTGGTATCCTATCTATTGATCGACTAATTCAGATCGGTACTACAAAAGCGAGGACAACCCTCTCAACTTAATTTACTTCATTTGCAAACGCCAGAGTTCGAACTCGATATGAATAACATGATGTTCTAAGCATATAATAGGATATGAATGCAAAGACATGAACAAATAGAATGCATAAAGGATATAGAATAAAGTGAGAATGAAGAAACTCCCTTAGAACCCTTCATGACAAACGTCCGGATATGAGAAGTACATGCAAAATGACGGGGCTAGTTAGGTTCACATCATAACTATTGACCTTAAGTAAGGAATCTAGTGCCGCATCCTACTAGACCATTGGTTGTTGATTGTTTATAATCTTTTTTAATTAATAATATATATATATATATATATATTGTATATATAACTACTCAAACTGAAGACCTCAAAGGAGAACAACACTAATAAGGCCACTTAATGGATTCGCTAACCAAAATTTTAAATAGTGTTATTGGGTCTAGTTATAATTTTTTTTTATATTTATTAAATAAAAATTTGAATTTGTGTTCCAAGAATAAAAAATACTTCATATGTCCCGCTTAAATTATTTCCTATTGATTTTTTTGGTCAATTTTTTCAACTCTAACTTATTATTATTTAAATTTTACTATTGATAAAAATACAAAAAAATAAAATTATGAAAGACATCAAACTCTGAACATTAAAACTAACAAAAATAAATAAATAAATAAAATGTCAGATTTTCTTAATTGATTATATGCTTTTGTAGTATGTACGATAAAAGAAGAATAAATAGGCCTGCTACCACTTTCCTTATTCATTAATAAAAAACATCAAACTTTCTACAATAATGAAAATACCTGGCGCCAACCTCATATTTAATAGCAATTTAATCCGCTATTGCTAGTTTTTATGATTTACTATGACATTTTATAATACCATTACAATTTTAATATAAATGTAATAATTAATTTACCTCAGTTGTTTAAGAAATCATTGTTATTTTTAGAGTTACGGATTCGAACACCAACGACTACAGTATGATGATTGATCATCTACTGTCAAATGATTAAGAGCATTTAAAATATATAATACTTTATAATCATCTTAGCTTACGCAATACCAATCTAATATAAATTCCTTCAACATAAAATCTTAAATTTTTCTTAACTTTGGCTAAATTTAAAGTTATAATATTAAACGAAAACAACATAATGGACTTAGAGATTGAATTGAAAAGATTAATATGTTTATTGACCTAATTAAAAAAAATAAGTATTTAATATATATTATATTTTTATTTAATTATTTATATATTTTTAATCAAAATATGTAAAGTTGTTATTTTTCTACTAAAGTATTTAAAATATTTATATAGCATCTTTTATTTAAATTATTAAAATATTTTTTAATTAATGTCACACGTCAAATTTTAAAAATTTATTTTTGGAATAATTTTTGCAGTGGCTAATACAATTATTCAAGTGTTAATATTTTGATTTAGTAACGTTTTTTTTTAGTGCAGACAAAGTGTAATTGAGTACTAAGCTCACTTATAGATTGTTGCATCCTGCATGATGTACTTTTTTTTTTCCTTTTCTTTTGAGAATGGTATGTGTCTCATAATTATATGAATTTCAATTTTATATCAAATAAAAATATAATATTTTTTTGGATAAAAAACACATTTAATACTAAATTATCAGTTTGATCCGTTTTAATATTTAAACTTTTATTTTTTTAAGTCATACCTAACGTTTAGTTTTTATTTTATTTTAGTATCTCACCTTTAAAAACTTAACATGTTTAATATCAAAATTATCAGTTTTGGTCCATTTTAGTACCTAAACTTTCATTTTTCCTCCCAAAACTTAATATTAAATTCTGAATATGGATATTAAAATGAAACAAAAATTAAACTTTATGTATATTTTGAAAAATATCAAAAGTTTAGATACTAAAATGGAATAAAAACTATAATTTAAGTACTAAACTCGTAGTTTATCCTATATTATTTTTAAATGAGATTAAATTAATTTTTATCAAAAGACTCGCGAAGAATCAAATTCCTTAATATTTGATCCAAATGTTTTTTTTAAATTAATAACTGGTATCCGATCTATTAATGACTAATTCAGATCAAATATTACAGAGAGATGATAATTTTAACTCAATTTATTTCATTCGCAAATTAAGTGACCTACTGTATTCTCCACGATACTTGATTTCTTACAAATACTCGTAAATGAATGATTGGCCCGTGTCTACACGTGCTGCGAGTGAGCGTTGACTATGGAATATCACACAGTGTCATCATTGTCAGGAGTTTTTGAGTTTAGTGTGGAATCAATTATAATTATAGTAGTTTAATCTCAGTTTAACTTGTAATTAACCATGGTTTAATCAACTTCAACCCAAAAGTTGCTGTCGCTGTTGGGTTTCACTGTTTCTTATTCCACTCGCCATCATCACCCATCACCCAGACAGCTAAAGGGAATCAATGTGCTTTACAAAGACACCCCCCATTTGATTGTTTTAGTGGCTCACTGTTCATACATTAAAAAGAAAACCCAGCAAATGACAATTTGTATCAACTAAAAAGCAAACAAAAAGAACCATTATTTGAGCTGCTTCCTGCTTTAGTCACAAAGAGAAAGCAGCAGCAGCAGGAGAATCTTTTGTTCTGTCTCTTTAGCTTCTAAAGGTAATTTTTTTCTCTACTCTTCTTAGCTGCAATAATGGGTTTTTTATCTCTTACCCTTTGTTGCTTAGCTTCCCACTTGATTTTTTTTATCATTGCATTTTTCTTTTCATTCATGAAGAGGGTTGCTTGTACACTTTTATGTTAATTGATTATCTGGGTTTGAGGTTTATTAGATGTAGAGTTGAACTTGTCACTGGCAGATCAAAAGCTTGGGTGATTTTAGCTTTTGGGTGTATGAAAAAGCTTGTTGATAGGTACCCTGGTTTTCTTGGTTCTTATTGGGGTTCAGATCAAATAAATGTCAGTTGCCACTACTGAGATTCCTTTTTTTTCCCTTTGGAAGTGCCCAACTTGTTTGGTCCATTCATGTTAGAAGAATCATATCTCAATTCTGGCATTCATAAATTTATGTTTTGAATGGAATCTTTGGCTGATATTTGTTGAATATTTCACCTCATGGTCACTTGGTGGATCAAAGGATATACCGGTCGAATTCGTATTTTTGTTTACTATTACTTGTTCTGATTGTGTTTCTTACTGTGTTTTTTCATTTGAAGACTTGTTTTAACTAGTTGAAGCAAGGTCCATCGACTCGGTGTTGTGCAATTACCAGAGGCAAAAAAGGGTCCTTGTTTGTTTGTTCCTTCGGTTGTTGTCTTGTCATGGTTTCGAGGTCGTATTCGAATCTCTTGGACCTTTCTTCATGTGATTCCCCGAGTTTCGGCAGAGAAAGAAAGAGGTTTCCTCGGGTGGCTACTGTCCCTGGACTCTTGTCTGAGGTAGATGATGAGAGCTGTCACAGTGTTGGCTCTGACGCTCCTTCTGTTTCTCAAGAACGGATGATTATAGTGGGAAATCAGCTCCCACTTCGAGCACATCGAAACGAAGACGACGGAGAGTGGTTCTTTAGCTGGGACGAAGATTCGCTTCTTTTGCAACTCAAAGACGGACTCGGAGATGATGTAGAAGTAATCTATGTAGGTTGTCTTAAAGAGGAGATTGCTCCTAACAAACAAGATGATGTGGCCCAAACGTTGCTTGAAACTTTCAAATGTGTACCTGCATTCATCCCTCCGGAGCTTTTTACCAAGTACTACCATGGATTCTGTAAGCAATATCTGTGGCCTTTATTTCACTACATGCTCCCTCTATCACCGGATCTCGGGGGTCGGTTCGATCGCTCCCTTTGGCAAGCTTATCTTTCGGTGAACAAGATTTTCGCCGACAAAGTGATGGAAGTGATAAACCCTAATGATGATTATATGTGGGTTCATGACTATCATTTGATGGTTTTACCGACATTTTTGAGGAAGAGATTTAATAGGGTGAAGCTCGGATTCTTCCTCCATAGCCCTTTCCCGTCGTCTGAAATATATAGGACACTTCCCGTAAGAGTTGAAATTCTAAGAGCACTACTCAACTCCGACCTCATCGGATTTCATACTTTTGATTACGCCAGGCACTTCCTCTCATGTTGTGGTAGAATGCTTGGTCTTTCTTATCAATCTAAGCGTGGCTACATAGGGCTTGAATATTATGGTCGTACTGTGAGCATTAAAATCCTTCCGGTGGGCATTCATATTGGACAGCTCCAGTCTGTGCTGAATCTTCCTGAGACTGAAGCTAAAGTGATTGAGTTGCGTGATAAATTCATTGGTCGAACTGTTATGCTCGGGGTCGATGACATGGACATTTTTAAGGGAATCAGTCTGAAGCTTTTGGCCATGGAGCAATTGCTCGTGCAACATCCTGAGAATATAGGTGAAGTTGTATTGGTTCAAGTTGCAAATCCTGCCAGAGGCCGAGGAAGAGATGTAGAAGAGGTCCGGTCTGAAACTTACGCCACGGTGAGGAGGATTAATAACAGGTTTGGAAGACCAGGGTATGATCCAGTTGTTTTGATCGATAACCCTCTTCAGTTTTACGAGCGAATTGCTTATTATGTTATTGCCGAGTGTTGTCTGGTTACAGCAGTGAGGGATGGGATGAATCTTATCCCATACGAGTACATTATATGCCGACAAGGAAACGAAAAGCTAGACGAGACCCTGGGGCTTCATCCATCGGCACAAAAAAAGAGCATGCTGGTTGTTTCTGAATTCATTGGATGCTCGCCATCTCTTAGTGGGGCAATTCGAGTAAATCCGTGGAATATCGATGCTGTGGCTGAAGCTATGGATTCTGCACTAATCGCCTCCGAGGCGGAAAAGCAACTGCGGCACGAGAAGCACTATAGATATGTGAGTACACATGATGTGGCATATTGGGCACGCAGCTTTTTGCAGGATCTCGAGAGGGCTTGTGGGGATCATTTGAGGAGGAGGTGCTGGGGCTTTGGTTTTGGTTTAGGATTCCGAGTAATAGCTTTGGATCCGAATTTTAGGAAGCTTTCCGTTGAGCATATAGTTTCGGCTTACAAGAGGACCAAGAACCGTGCAATTCTATTGGATTACGACGGCACCTTGATGCCGACCGGTTCGTTAAATACTACTCCCAATATAGAGGCTGTTGGAATCTTGAACAATCTGTGTAGAGACCCCAAGAATGTTGTTTTCCTTGTTAGTGGAAAAGATAAAATGACTCTGAATGAATGGTTTTCCTGTTGTGAAAAGCTCGGACTCGTGGCGGAGCATGGTTATTCTATCAGGTCTGCTTCTTTTCTTTTTCCCGATCTTGTTTGTCATTAACTTACCCTATTCCTTATTAACATCATTCTCTCCCAGGCCAAACCATGATTCAGATTGGGAAACATGCATCTCGCTGTCGGACTTCGATTGGAAGCAGATTGCCGAGCCGGTGATGAAATTATACACTGAAACAACAGATGGTTCTACCATCGAGACCAAAGAGAGCTCTCTCGTGTGGAATTACCTTTATGCCGATCCCGATTTCGGATTTTGCCAGGCTAAGGAGCTTTTAGATCACCTCGAAAGCGTTCTCGCCAACGAGCCAGTTTCTGTTAAGAGTGGCCAGCATGTCGTAGAAGTGAAACCGCAGGTTAGTAGAGTTACCACTTCATATCATATGTATTACGTTATTGCATGAGTTTACGTAACCCATAATTCCTTTGCGTTACTAATTTTGCAGGGTGTGAACAAGGGTCTTGTTGCCGAACATATTCTCACGACAATGCGACAAAAAGGTAAACTCCTTGATTTCGTTCTTTGTATCGGGGATGACCGGTCGGACGAGGACATGTTCGAGGTGATCATGCGCGCGAAGACCGGTCCCTGTCTCTCCCCGGTTGCCGAGGTGTTTGCTTGCACTGTCGGGCAGAAACCTAGCAAGGCAAAATACTACGTGGAAGACCGAAGCGAGATTTTGAGAATGTTGCAGGCTCTGGCGAATGCTTCCGAACCCGCCGCAAAAACCACTCCCATCCCGGCTTCTCGCGGTGTGATTATCAACAAAGAGTGAGCAGATTCAATCTTTTATCATCATCCTACATGGATTTCATACTATTAAGTGTACATTGAATTCCTCAAGTAGTAGAGTTTTGTGGGAAAAAGCATGGCAAGTATTGGGCTTCTGGTTATTGCTTATATGCAGTGTCGAAGAATAAACGGAGAGTTTTGTCCGAATGTGTGTTTTCTTCTTCTTTTTGAGTGAATTTGTTATTGAATTTAAGGCGTCATCATATACTAAAACAAAGATAATATATGTTAGTGAAAAATTAAAATATTCATGAAATCGTAATATAATCAATTACGAGTTAAAAATCTCAAACATTTTACGATATTGTCGTGTCAAGAATACAACACGTGAATGTCGAGGGTTCCAATTGACTATATAATCGAAAAGATCCATCAACATAAATCAACAATTGAGCTAACTTCTCACGCAGAGAGACTAATTTTAAATACTTACAGAAAACAGGGGTGCAATTCATAATTGGACCTGGGTATTAAGAGAGAGCCAAATTTGTCACCCAATTCGTCTTCTTCATCATCGGAATCCGACAACGCTCGCCTTATGTGAGGCTGAGTCTCCTTGGGCTTCCGTTTATCCGTTGGGGAAAGCAAAGAGATCAACGGAGAGCCAAAGGCCGTTCTCTCGCCGGAGTAAATTCCGGCGAATGAACTTTGAAGTGTAATAGAAACTCGTGGACTCGACCTTCCAACCCATCAGTCTTTCCAGAATCTCGTCTGATTTCCCAAATGTTTGATTCCTCTTTTGATCACTTTCTCAGGTTTTTAAAATTCCCTTCCATGTTGAAGATGTGTTTATGTGAGGTTCTTTTCCATAAAGTTGGAATTTCTGAGATATTTCTGATTGAAAATTCTGCACCAGAGTGAATCCTGATTTGTCCTCATTTTCCAGCCGTTTTTTGTCATAAGAGCAAGGTTCATGTCCTTAAACTTCCTAATGTCGAGTCCACCATCCAATTTGGTTCTGCATACTGTTTCCTATTTCACAAGATGATTATGAGAGTAATCCGTTCCTCCTCCCCAAAGAAAGTTACGATTTAGCCTGTCGAGTTTATTTAGTATCGACATCGGGAGCATGGTTGGTTGCATGATGTGAACCGGAAGAGCTATTGTAATTGATTGAATTATTCTTCTTCTTCCTGCTAAAGACAAGACTTTACTTTTCCATCAAGCCATTCGTTTCATAACCTTTTCCGCTTGAGGCGCGTAAGTGTTAGAAGCCACCCTTTTATGTATGATAAGAACTCCCAAATAAGTACCCAGATTCCCAGTTCTGTTGAAGCCGCTGCTTTGGCTAAGGTAGCTTGTCGTGTCATTGTTTAGATTTGGAGAAAAAAATATGCTCGATTCTTTGCTATTAACTTCCAGCCCCAATGCTTGACAAAACTTCCTTAAGCAATCTTTAATAATCCTCATTTGATTGGCTGAAGCTTCGACGAATAGTAATAGGTCATCTGCAAAAAACAAAGGACTAATATTAATACCTCCACTCGAAAGTTTCATGGGTTTCCATAATTTATTGTGGACCATTTCAAGAATCATGTGAGATAAGCGTTCCATAACAAGAATAAAAAGATACGGGGATAAAGGATCTCCCTGTCCCAAGTCCTCGTCCCGGTTGAAAACTCAGTTTTTTAGCCGTTTCAATAGAGCTATTCTTGATACAGAACATTACGATGGCTATCGTCTCAGCAGGTAGCTTAAATTCAGCGAACGTTCCTTCCAATTTATAAATCATGAGTAATATGGATAAATTTATATAAGAATGTTATTTTCAAAATAATTGTTTAAATGTTATTTTTTAAATAATAATAAAAGTATTATTTAAGATATGGCCAATAATATAGGTCTAATAAAAGGCTTTGAAAAGGAAAAACTAAACTAGTAGTTTCGAGTGTACATTGTAGAAAGCAAGTAAAGCACTTCAGATTTTCCACGAAAATTGGCAGAGAAAAAAGAATCACTTTTCTTCAACTGTCTGAGAGAGAGAGAGAAAATAAATTCGACGGCTAAGAACAGGACAAAAACTACAGACAGGAGAAAGAAGAAATGGATGGTAAACGACAAGTTTACGCATGGCTTCTTTAGCACTGTCAGCTCTATTTCTCTCGTCTCCCAATTTGTAGAGTGAGCGAGTTCACCAAATTTTCAATCTTCTTCCAGAAAATTTTAAAAATTTCTGAAAAGAAAATCGCTCTTTGTTCTTCTTCAAACTAAATCTATCTCTAAATTTGTTCTTCTGTATTTCCTCTTTCGGTATCCTTGTTTTCAAAATTCCCGGATTTTTCTTTTTTACTTCGAAGTTGTAGATCTAACTCCAAATCTTTCAACTAAAATTTCCCCTTTTTTCTGTTTCCATCTTTGTTTGATCTGTTGTGTTGTACCTTTTTGTTTCTTCTTTTGTTGTATTCCTTCAAAAGGTTGGAATTTTCAGCTCAGATTTAGCTTGTTCAGGTGTGTGCTGAAATACCCATTTCTCAAATCTCTAGAACCTCACTCTTTAGCCTAAAATTTTATCCACTTCATATGATTTTAGCTTCTGGGTTCATAGCTCTTACTTAATTTAGGGTTCCCAACAAATTTCCCCTTTTCATCCTACATGGATTACAGTAGAGAGAACGTAGTTCATGTAATTCAGACAAATGGACCTGATAATTGGGTCCCGAATTCGAGTGATCCTTCGGTTTGGGCAACTGAAGAAGATTACCGTGCTTGGTACGGCCAAGAAGCATCCACCGACACGCCTTCATACTCCAGCTACGACCAAAGACAACCTGAATCCCTGCCTGAGCAGCCACCGAGCAAGAAGTCTCGAAATTCCCAGGATTTGAATTCCGGTTCCAGATCCAGAGCCATAGGCAAAATGTTCTTCAAGACCAAGCTTTGTTGCAAGTTCAAGGCCGGCACTTGCCCTTACATCTCGAACTGTAACTTCGCTCACAGCGCGGAGGAGCTACGCCGCCCGCCGCCTAATTGGCAAGAAATCGTGGCTGCTCACGAAGAAGAGAAAGGGGTTACCTCGGAGCCGCCCAGGGAAGAATTCCAAATCCCTTGTTTGGTGTATTCGAGTTCTGCCGGAGAAACACAGAGGTCCTATAAAGGAAGGCATTGCAAGAAGTTTTACTCGGAGGAAGGGTGTCCTTACGGTGATACTTGCACCTTTTTGCACGACGAGCAGTCGAAGAATCGGGAGAGCGTAGCTATAAGCTTGGGGCCCGGAGGGTACGGCGGTGGCAGCGCCGGCGGAGGAGGTGGTGGTGGGAATGGATCGAATACGAAACCGACGAATTGGAAGACGAGGATATGTAATAAGTGGGAACTTACTGGATACTGTCCATTTGGAAACAAATGCCATTTTGCTCATGGAGCTGCAGGTATGGTTCATTGGTCGATTGTTTAACCAATTTCACCATTTTTAATTCTGCTTTTTTTGAATAGTTTATGTTTTTAAAGTTTTTATGGTTTTCGATTGTTCAATTCCTACGAGTATGCTGCGATTTTGTTTGCAATGATTGTTAAGCGAGAACAATGAACTTAAACTGCGCATGCATATGCCTGTAACTCCGGTACCGCCGTTTTTCCTTTCGAAATAGCTAAAATCCGATGCTCCGATGATGTATTTGTTGTTTCTTAGTAATACAGATGATATTAGCTTTTGCAGCTAGTGAGGGTAATTCGAATGTATGTCTTGTTACTGCAGAATTACACCGATATAGAGGTGGCCTCACTGATGCAGAAACAAAGGATTCTCTTGTGCTACACCTACCGACTCAAAGCAAGGGGGAGGAGGAATGCCCTCAAAAGCTCCTCCCGATGCTGCGGCTGTTCCCCCTCTTCCACTTTCCGATGTTTATCACTCGCAGAGGACATCTATCGTACTCCAAAGGCCAGGACAAAGAACTCCTCAGAAATGGAAAGGTCCGGATAAAATCAGCCTTATATATGGTGACTGGATCGATGACATTCAATAAACTCACTCCGTTTAAGCACCGAGAGACAAAATAAAGCAACACAAACTCAGGAAAGACGAGTCTTTCCGTGGGATAGTGAATAGTTGCGAGAGACTTATAGGACAGTAGGGTCATGCATCGCATCGGGAAACCTTACTCTTTGCTCATTTGGATTTCTTAGCTGCAGAATTTTTATGTATGAATCAATATTCCATCAATGGCTGTAGACTCTGCCCTTGTTATCAAATACCCTTTTTTCTAATATGAAAACCGGGAAGAAAGTTATCCCGATTTGTTGGAGTTATCATTTGTTTATCGAGATCGGGAGAAGGGATTTGTACCGGCTAAGATTCCGATATCGTGACGATGAAGCATAGCTTCATTGGTTTCCAAAATTAGCTACACATCCTTCTCACCGAGGACTCGTTCAATAAACCAAAAATATAATGCTTACCAAGAAATTAACTTTCCAAATTAAGCTCTCCATTTTTTTTTCATGCTCCAAATACACATTGGCAATGTCGACATGCTTTTCTCTTCCCTCTACACAACCAACAAACAAAAGAGATCAATCCCATTGTCTCTCATCAATGCAAAAACACTCGGCCGGAACCATCTGCACTCCGGCCACCGACACCCTGTTTAATCAATGTCGTCGTTTTACAGTCATGCCAAAGGACCTTCCACATCGACCACCGCCCCGCCATTGGCTATAATTATATCAGTAGTTTTGCTCGTTTTGTTCGCCTTTGCTTTTCTCACGGTATGCTTATGTAGGTGCTTCCTGCAAAACCTTGTTAGGACGTGGAGTCAGCGGCAGAATCCTCCAGGTGCTGTCGATGTTGCCGCAGGCGCCGATATGAATACTGGCCTTGACCCTGAACTAATTGAAGCTTTCCCTACATTCTATTATTCAACTGTCAAAGAGTTTCGTGGTGAAAAGTACGGTCTAGAATGCGCTATTTGCTTAGGAGAGTTCAACGATGACGATATGCTTCGACTTTTGACGATTTGTTGCCATGTTTTCCACAAAGAATGTGTCGATCTATGGCTCGAGTCCCATAAAACTTGTCCGTTTTGTCGAGGGGAGCTAGACGAGCCGAGTCAGTCGTTAGACAAGTCTCCATATATTGTTCATAGCAATTCCATGCACGACATCAGAACAAATCAAAGTCCATTACAAGATTGTGTTTGCATCGACATTAGAGAAGATAACAACAGCGACACAATTGGTGGGGGCGAAGACGAAGCTCCGACTTCTTCAAATACAAGACAACAGCCCCATGGGATCCCAAAATTTTCAAGATCGAATTCAACCGGCCACTCCATATCTGGGACTAGAGAGGAGGATAGATATACTTTGAGATTGCCTGAACATATCAAAACAAAAATTGTAGGGGGACACAAGATCGCAAGAAGCTGTATCGCATTCGGCGATTTTGCCAGCCCCTCCGAATACAAGAACCAACGTTTTCGTGAAACATTGGAGACATGTCAAGGAGACGATAAAGTTTAGTTTATAGGGTTTTCTTTTATTCTCACAAACCACATCTTTAACATCATCTTAAATAGAGCTTACTGCAACCGAAATGTTACAACCTTTCCCAATTCTCATCGTTTTTAGCCAGAACCGGAATAACCGATATTAAGATTTAGCTGAAACCGGTTGTCTATGTTTGATTGAGTTAGCTGTGTTTTTTCTTTTGTTTACTCATGTATAGCCAATAGAAATTCAAATCAATGTCTTCCATTTAATTGTTTCAACTTTGCTTTTCTATGTTGTGGAAGATGAAGAATGAAGTTGCAGGCTTTGCTATTTGTATTAGGTCATGAGACCGAGTCCCGAATAACGCAAACAAAAACTATGATACATGTTATACTTCATCGAACATGGAAGCGAATTGCAAACAGATTAGACATGTTTGTTATGATCTAATCAACAACGCGGACGCAAGCGACAACGGTTCTGGAAAAAAAAACATCGAGATATCTCTTGATTTCATAAGAAGTTTGTAGTTCTCACTTAAGCTAAACTAAAATATATCTGATATCAAATAAAAATGCAAAAATGGTTTATTTTTACGTAAGAAAAGAGGGTATCTTACTCTTGCTTGCTTAGCAATAAAGAATTGACCACTTGAAAAGGAACATGGAACAGCTGGATTCAAATGAGATTGATTGGGACGGTGGTCTTTGCCGCCGGAGGTGGTGGTGGTGGTGGTTGAACTTGCGCTTTCGTCCAAGATGGTTTGATGGTGCAGTGTCTCATCCAAAGACATTTGATGGTAACAGTCACTGCTTTATACATAATTTCGTTCGGATTGGTGTAATCCCGAAAGTGGACGTTGTCCCTAAGGTTAACACAGTCTTCCAAGCCGCCTCGTACACCTAAAGTGAGGAAGTGGAACTCATCTGTACTGCTCTCTTCGACAGGATATTTTTTTGAAAAGTAAATACGAACAACCTTAAAATTGTGTATTTCATTATGGAGTGAACTAGTAGTTTTATAGGGGTGATAGAAGGATAAAATTGTCAAACGACAATTATCCACTCTAACAACTTATTAAATATAGATGATCAACTTTCCATAATTAGTCTCTACTATTTACATTATTTACACTATCTATCAATATCAATATCTGATTTTTCACATTCTATAAGTGAGATTTTTCACATTTTTAATTATCGAAACCACCCCTTAGAAAAAAAAGGACATGGGAATTAGATCAAAGACTAGTATAAGGCGAGCTGGCCCCAATGACTTGGACGGCCAACCACGATCGTCCCAATCAAGGAGATGTGAAATATGGATCGACTCTCAATTAATTAGGCATCCCTTATTTCTACTTTCTTCTACGTGTGAGCCAATCACATATAGGGATGGCAATGGTGGGGGAAAATCGAAATTTTTTGGGATTCGAACGGATGGGAAATAATTGAAATCTTCACCCACAGGAATGGGATAGGGTAAGTTTTATCTTCGAATCTCAAATAAGGATGGGGATGGGAATTACTATATCCGAACCATGGGGATAATCAAACCATACCGTGTGAATAATCGTAAGGATCTCCAAAAATATCCGTAGGAATTCATTATGTTTTTCAAAATTTTAAAAATATATTTATAATCATTTACTTATATACCTTAATATATATTTTAATAAAAATTATATATGATAAGATTGTGAGATTAAGTGTTGTCACTGTTACATCTCAAAGGAACTAAGATTGAATTTAGATATTTTTCATTTAATATACATTGATTTATTGAGATTGAAAATGATTAAGATTGTACATATATATTGGGTGTTAGATGAATATTTGAAACTTTCATATTATAAATAGTGACCAATTTGAGACAATTTGATATCTTACAAGTTTTAGGTTTTGCATTGATTTCAAAAATGTTTGTTATTTTTTGGGACGAGGATTAACGAAATTCGCAGAGATCCGTAAAAGATGGGTATGGGATAAAAAAATTCCCGAAATATATAATAGGGATTCCAAAATCGTACCCGCAAGTACTGGGGACGGATTGGGTAATGCAAAACGTCCCACCTCGCCCCGTTGCCACTCATAATCGCTGGTACTCGAATTTTAACTTCAACAAAAATGATTCTTTTAATCATAGAGATAAATGAGTTATCGCTTATATATTAAGTCTGTCAATGTAAATTGGGTTGATTTAATCGAAATCTCTCGTTTATAGGCACATGTAGTTTCAAAACGCATCGTTTCGGTTCAGAGTGCCCAAATATACCACTAGTACTACATTAAATTATTAACCATGGTTAATTCACCCGCCCAAATCAAATAAATAACTTTCCGTTTTAAAATCCTCACCCCTCAAGAAAACCACAAACTGCGAGAAGAGAATAAAAGCCAGAGGGAACCAAACAGAATCCACAGGGAAAAAAAAAGCACGAAGCTTTCTCAACGGAGTGGCAATGACGTTTTACGTGGACGAAGAAGAGGTCTGGAAATGTGCAAAGCATCCTTCGAAACGTTGCTTCCGAGATAAGCTCGCTTCCCTTTGTCCCGACTGCGGCCGCCCTTGCGCGTGTAGCGCAACCTCTTTTCCTTCTTCCTTCTATCGCTTCTCAACCGCAGCGGCCGAGGATACCTCCGGTGTTGGAAGTTTAGGCCGGCGGCGTTTCCGATCTTACCGAAAGAGAACCTGCGTTCCGACGTTCGAGATCTCTTGTGATTCCTTTTCTCCACTCGAAACCTGAGCGTTTAAGCGAAAATTGGATTTGGCGGGTAATAAGAGCGACGCCGTCGTTTTGGTCGATGTTTAAAGCTAGCAATAAGAGCAAGTGACACGAGAGTGAAGATCAACGAAGTGGAGGGGAGTAAATGAGAATTGCGGCGGAGGAATCTTATATATATTCAAATTGCTTTTGAGAGGCAGGTTATAAACTAGAACGAGTTACTGAGTTAGTCCACTGACTTGAGTGATCACCTTGTCTGCATGTGATTTTCAGTCTGTCATGACTCACTCGTGCATGGGATTTTAACAGTGTAATTCCCATTCGACTCCCTGAATCATGTATATATATAAATGGGGGGCTGTTGAAGGTGGAAGTGTAATTTTGGTATTTGGTGGGCAATTGCCTTTGCTTCTTCTTTCATTCTATGTTTCAAATCACGCCTAAATCTCTTTTGAAACAAATGCTTAAACTATTAGCTTAATCATGTAACTACTATTATTTAAACTTAAAATTCAGACATACTTTATTTAATATTTAAATTTGTATGACTTAAATTATAGTTAGACAAAAAATGGGAAGGGCATGACCTCCTCTCACCCCCTTTTTTTTTATGTACGTCACTCGATGTATGTCAATAAGCACTATAATAACGACAGGGTTGAAATTATCGTTATTTCGAGATCGCATACTCGAATGTCATCTTACATAAATTAAATGTAAATTATTTCGAGATCGCATACTCGAAAGTCGGCAAAGGCAAAAGGAAAGGAATTTATCAATACAAAAGCAAATTCCATCACAGACTGATGCTCAATAAAGTAGCAGATAATGCAGCTGTTCACCCATCAAATCCAACAGTGCATGTTGCTGCTCGAAGCTTTCCACTACGTGTTTCATTTAACAATGAATACTCTACTCCATGCATGATTCTCGAGATACGATAAAAAAAAACAGGTAAAGTAAGTTGTCTGGGCATGTTTTTTAATATGATCCGGACATGCATGATCTAAGCTGGAGCAGTTGAATGCTTTCCATCCCCGGGTTGTCGAATGAGTTTTGGGATTGGGCATTTCACAAATTTTGGGTGGGTTTTGCTTCTGTTCTTGACTTCTTTCCCCCAATGGATCACAAAGGCCCAATCCCATTTGAAATGGATAAGATGTCTATGTACTTTTAAAAAAAATTAATATGGTCTTCATATTATTATTTTTTCAGTGTAACCCTTAAACTCATAAAACAAATCCAATATAATCATTTGACTAACATTTTTCGCCGTTGACCGTTACAGTATTGGCGTATTGGTTCACGATGATGACGTGACAGTCCATCTGCCATGTCTGAGTTACCAATCTAGCCAATCTGCTATGTCATCTGCCACATTAATCTATCACATTGGACTGCTATATTAACACCGTAAACTATCACATCAACACCGTAATGGTCAATAAAGAAAAAATGTTGGTCAAAGGGTCACATTGGATTTATTTTCTAAGTTAAAAGGTTACATTGAGAGAAAAAATAATACAATGATCACATTGATTTTTTTTTCAAAAAGAGACATCTAATGCCTTTTTGCCTAAAAATTAATATTCGATTGTTGTTTTTATTTCTACATGATTCAAAATCAACATCTTATTTAAGGGACGAGCTTTTAATTTTTTTTTATTAATCATAAATATTTTATCTATTGATAGACTAATATAGATCTAAATGCCAAAATTCAAATCCTTAATTTTACCTAAAAATATCGAACATTTCATCCCATTAAACCTACATATCGTCGATAGGTTTTGGTTAATCTGATATTATTTTCTTTTTCTAATATTAATTGAAGCCGGTCAAGTAAAAACCTTCATTTTACTTTAGAAATGGTTACATCTAAAGAATAAAAAATTTATAAATTCTCACAGAAAGCAATAATAATAAAAAAAACAGTAATGTGCGTAAGAAAATCAAAATGTTTAAAGGGCTTGCATGGAATTATGGAAGCTAAATATATGGCCTTATTGTATCAAATCAATAATATTTACTACCAAAAAATCCTGGATTTACATTTTCCCCGACCAGAAGTCTAAAATTAAACCAGGAGCCCCTACGGGATGGCCAAGAATCAACCATTAAAATTTAAGCATAATGGCTTGCAAACCGTTCAACGTGGGACGGGAACCGAACGCATAAGATTATGGTTGCCTTTGGTCCGAGGGCTGACCCTTTTGCAAGGAGATGATCCCATTCTTTTCTTTGCTTTACCTGCAGGTTTTGGAGTGAGCAGAGCCATTAACCTTGCTCCTCGTGCACTAGGCATCCTTTTGGCGTATCTCATCGCTTCGATTCTTCCTTGATCCATCTCGGGTGTCTTGTTGACCGTTGCTCTTCTGCAAACACCCCCGCGCTTCTCGTCTTTCGAATGAACTCGTGGAATACATCCTGTAAATGCAAGCCATCTATAGTTATGACATGTTATCCTAGAAAAGAAAAACCTGTCATGGAACTTAATAGTAAGGGCATTCCTTTACCTGAAAGGTCAGTCTGAGATTTGGAAGGCATCAAAGGGGAACTACCACCATTTATAGCTTCATCAGAATAATTGGTTGACTTTGGTGGTGGTGTAGAAGCATCGGTCATAGGAATATCATCCATGGAGTCAATGGACTTCAATACACGAAATTCTGATTCATTTGCAGGCACTCTAGAAATCCCATCACCGACAAAAATTGATTCATCAACCTTAGCTTCACAATGTGTTTCACAAGAGAACTGAGATAAGGCTTGATCGGCAACATTTTTAGATTCATTAGCACCACAATCAGCACTATCTATGTCATCTAGAACAGACTTGGGTGAAGAATCAGAGGTTCCATGGTCTACACAGGGCTTCTGTACTTCTATTGCAGTCGAAAACCAAGGTACACCCTTCTTTGCATATAGCAAAATGTAGGCTTCCTGAGAAAGGACAGCTTCTTCTTCAACACGAGTAACCTTCAAAAGATTGAACATGGCAATTTCAGTGAACTTATCAGATTAAAAAATGTTTAAAACATTAGGGAAATTCAAATCTTCTTCGCATCATTATCCATAAGCAAGAAATTTTCAACAAGAAAATATTGGAACAATTTAGCAATTATAGTAATCATACTCGGTAAAAACAAAAATGCAAGTTATACTCAAATAAATTTGTCGATCGTTACCCTTGAATCATTCATCTTATGCCATGTATCAGGAAAGGACCGAATGTAGCAAACATAGTGTCCAGAAGTTGGTCTGAATCCAGAATGCTTCACAACTGCATACAGTTGATATACCAATTCCTCCTGTTGCAAAAGGATAACAAATTAGAAATTCAATGATTTTGAACCGAATACAAACTAATCAAACATTAAATTGCATCTTTTCCAAAACTCACAAATGAAAAAAGGTGATATTGTAGATGATAGCAACAAAGGTGATACTCACATTGTTTCCATCTTTGACAATAGTGTAAGGCTGCAGATCCAACTCCAGTGGGAAGTCAACATGCTTGTCAATCTTCTCAATAAAAGATCCTTCCGTCTTAAATCTCTTCAAATGGAATGTTGCAACTGAGGGAGCCTCATCCAGCATTAATTGTTTTTCTACCGACACTTGTTCTTTACAATTCTCACACCTAAACTTTGCCTCTAAATCATCTATCTTCTCCACTTTGGTGAAAGACTCTAATGCACATTGAAGGGTATCCACATCTTCAATTTCCAAACTCAGATCATTGAAGGGCTCATAAGTGCACGATATATGGCCACAATTGCAACAACGTAGCTGAAACCATCAAAACCAAAGACATTTCAATACATTATAAACATTCCAACTTTGAAAAGTGAAACAAAAGGAAATCTTTCTGTATATATATGTATATAAACTAAACGTTATCAAGTTGCATCATTCATACTCTGCTAACAAGGCGACCACCATAAACCTTCTTAACAAGGCAATCATTGACAGAGGACAGATCGTTCTCTGGTTTTGAGCAACAGTTTTCAAGCTTATCTAACATGCATTGCAGGAACTCATGAGCATCTTCCTGCTGATATTTCTGGAAAAATGATGAGATATCTTGTTCCCTGTGAGTCAAGAATCACAATCATGAACAAAGTTAAATTATATCATAATTTTCAGTCTGCTACGTGTACTTGAAAACACGTTTCCGGACACACTGATAGAAAATATGACAATCTCATCAAATTGTAATTACTGAAGAAAAAAATGCATACTTATAAGCACATAATACAGTGGTCATCCTAACTTTAAATCGATCAAGCAAATAGTAACTAAATAAAGGATACAGTTCAAATTGTCGAAAATTTTGGAAGGCAATACAATTCCTCCAGATGAATTCAAGGAAAGCTCAATGTGATCACGAATAGCACAAAGCAAACAAAAGCTCTCGTTATCACCTGACATATCCAACAAAACAGTGAGAAACCTCAAAAAGGAACAAAGAAACGGAGGTTAAAGCAAGAGACTTACGATCACAAGGCTTCTCATGATGATGATTCAATGATCGAAGACCCAGAACAAATGGGACAGTGTGAGTAAAACATTGCAAGACAGCATTGATGAAACATGTGTTACCCAAATTTTCCAGCCCAGCACCCTGCATGACCAATATCAAAAAATTGATTCATACAATCATCGTCCTACCTAAAAGTAAGTTTATAGACAAATTGACCAGAAAATATTGAGAGGAGCATACCACGCCGGTTGGTTTATCTTCAGTTCTAGAAGCTTCTATGGGAGACAAGGGCTTTGACCACGAGTGTCCCCATGTAGAAACCCTAGAGCCGGGGGATTTGAATTCGTTGTCTCTGCGACCATAGTTGTAAGGAGAATTATAGTCACTATAACGCCACTTGCCGTCTTCTTCCTCTTGTGAAGAGTTGTTGGGTTCCTTAGATTGACGAGGCACCGAGGGTACACCCTGAGACGACTCGGATTCAGTAGGAGAACCCGACGGATGAGGAGAAGCTCCGGCGGTTTCCATGGTTTCAGGACCAAGAGAGTCAACGGACATTGAGTAAACAGAGGAAGACCCGACAAGGAATCGGGCGTCAAAGGCGAAACTCGACTGAACCCATCATAATTCTCCTGAGAAACAGAGGATTCTGAAGGAGATGGATAAGCTGGCATTAGGGTTTCAGAAAAAGGCGTTTGGATTTGCATGCTTGGATGAGTTTTGAGAGGAGAAAAAGACAGCGTTTCTGGGAAACGAGATTTATAATTCGGAAACGGGAAAGCTCAATCTTGTTCTTAGAGGAACAATGTGAAAATCGAAGAGGGAACTCGGAGGAGGGAAATTGAAAAAGAGGCTTTCTTTTACAAAACCTCATTTAAAGTGAGATTTTGAAAATGGAGGGAAACTTGAGCCGCCTTTGATTTGGATACTTTGCCAGCTGTCTTTATTTTGGCTTAATATACAATGTAACCCTCAAAATGTATATTTTTTCTCAATTCGCACCACAAATTATCCATTTTCTCAATTTATCATTTAAATCACCATTTACGTATATCTGATTATCGTAAAATGGAAAACAATCAGTAAAATTACCACATGCGACATACTCTTAATTGATGCTGGTTTTTAATCATCATTTGATTAAATTAGAAGATAAATAAACAATAATTTAAAGTGTAAAATAAAACTTATATTTATGGAAAAATAATGAATTAAAAGCTTTTTTTATTAACACGGTACTAGATTATGACTGTTTGGCTTCTACAAGTTCAGGTCAAACTTTTTTACTCAAAAATAATTTCAATTAGATTACCATTAGTTATAACGGAGGGGGAAGTACTCTCCCCATATTAAAATAATAGATAATGTAAAAATAATATTAGTTTGAGTTCTTTGTAAAGTAATATTAGAGATGGGCAAAAGATTCGAACTCGATGTGTTTTGATTCGACCATATCCGATCTGGTCAGGGGATTTTTTTTAAAGTAATAGTTCACAAAATATTATCCATTTAAATTTAAGATAAAGTATACAAATAGTACCTTGACTACTTGATGATATTTTATTGAGTTTTTTTATTATTAAAAGTTATAAAATGATCCACTATAGAAAATTGCTTTGTTAAGTCCTCTATTATTAAAAGTTTAAAATAATCAACCGGCTATCTAAATTTACCTTTTTCCGTTAATTTTATACAACAATCTGAATGTACATTAACTTACTAACTGAAATATGATTAAATTTGTCCTGTGAAAGAATTGTTATTATAAATTCAGGTCTACATCCACTATCAAAAGATATTGACCGGTGATCTAAACATAACACACTCAGATATATATAGTCAAGACCAGAAACATTGCATTACAGGACTCTGTCCTGGAAATCCGATAGAAAATTCGACGCCAACGAGCTCAATTTCTTTCCGGTCTCTCCCGCCATGTTCTTAAGGTTCGAGATATCCTGTTGTGCCTGAAAGTCGAAAGAAACGATATAGAAGTGAACTTCACGACATCACATACACAGATGAAAATTCAGGAGATGCATAAAAGAAGTGTTTTACAAAACAGACCTGGAACGAGAATCGGTTGATGAGGTCACTTGCAGTAAGATCGATAGAATTATCAGCACTTTGACCGAAGAGATCGGCACTAGAGATGGCTGTTGAACCCTGCCAAAAATACATAAAGGTTATTAGTCTCTGAAATAAGATACCGTTTACGGTTAATGTTCTTCAAAGAATCTATTTTGTTTAATGGAGGTTGTCAATCAGAAAACAAAAAGGAAAGGGATACAACAAGATGGTACAAAAAATCCCAGATGGATAAAGTCTTCCAAGCCTTAAAAAAGACTATGTTTTCGAGAAAGGAATAGCTACTGCACATACTGAGAATTTCTGCAGGGTAACTTGAGTTTCATTGTCTGCTGCTCTGGTCGGATTACCAAAGTATTGGGCTGATGAAATAGATTTCGCATTTGATAACTTCTTCCTAGCTTCATCGGTTTCCTCAATCTGAAATTAAAAAGAAGAAATAAAATAAAAAGGCAGAAAAAGATACAAGCAGACTAAAACAGTGAATTCAATCTCTTTCACCGAATTCTCACGTTAAACTACATGAACATGAACAATGTGAATCATTTTCTTTACAGAAAGTCAATTGCTTAGGGATGTGCAAGCAATACACCTACTAGATTCAAGGTGCCCAATAATGTCACGCTAAAAGAAAGATGCATGTCTCGAAATTTGATTTCCAAGGAAAAATTTGCAACTTCACATAAGCTCGAAGCATGACCAGACTAAAATAGTGAGCTGAATCTCTTGATTCCAGACATCAACTTTATGGAAGTTCAAATCATCTCCAGCAGTATATAAATTCAAAGAAGAGCAAGGTTCTAAAATCAAAAGGAGACAGTTCTATCGATCTAATCAGATATATAAATAAAATATGAAGATTCTTGGTATCTATAGATGTAGCATTACTTGCACTTTTGAGGAATTTGAGCTTGATTTCTTCTGAAAACCACTGTCCATTCCAAATTCTGCAAAGAAGCTTGATGACTTTGGTGGAGCAACATGATTAAGCACTTGTGGGCCACCGTGATTTGACTCATTAGATTGAACATTGTCGACATACTCAAAACGAGATGGGAAAGATGAACCAATGGGTGCAACGCCATTAGTTGAGGAAGCAACAAGGGCAACTGGTTCTTCGGGCTTCTGTTCATATAGATTTTCACTAGGCTACAATAAAAGAAGACCATGTTATCATGAAGAAATGCATTAAAAGAAACTCCAAAATTAAGTAACTATCCTAATAAGGACATCCTTCCAAGCATTCTACAGTAATCGCATTGCTCACCATACCTTAGTAGAAAGCTTTTGGGCACAAAGCCCCCCGGTTTTCCCAGTAAGTTTTCTGGCACCAAGAGGCTTTTTGGCAGTGCTGGTAACCACTGTATGAGAAGCTTTGGGGGCAGCAGGAACTTCTGGTTTTTCTTGCTTTCCTATAGAATTTTCTTTAGGAACTTCATCCGCCTTGCTATCAGTAAATCCATTAGGCGATTGTGATGACTGAGAAGCAACAGGAGATGAAGGCAAACCGGTATCTTCTAACATGCTTTTAGCGACTTCTTTTGATAGTATTTGTCTATATAAATCGGCAGCTCTTGAAGTATATTTGGCCTCAATTTTGCCTCCATCGGTCCATCCATGTTGCTTAAAGAAAACTTGTGCACGGTTGTTTCCACCATAAGTCATCATTTTCAATTGTTCAGGAGACCATGAATCTAAATTTGTAGACCTACATAAAATATACATTTTTTTCATAAATTAAAAGTGAAACGCAAAGACTCGAGAAAATAAGCAGCAGAAGATGCATCTTTGTATGATGGTAGGCGTTACAAAATTCACAGTAATGTGCATGTCATTATAAACACCAAAATCCAAAAGAGTAGCTCTTTTTCTCACTTTCATTCCTTTTGTGAATCCCAGTAGATCGAAAGCGACAGAACATAATCTGCTCAATGAAACATTGCCGAATGATAATTTATAAATTTCCACAGCTGACATTTCATTTTTATCCATAAATTTCCTCACGAAAACAGGAACTGAAAGCGAGAAAAAGCCTTCTGTGTTCCCCTACGTAATAATCAAACAAAAATTCCAACTATTTTCAAGCATAACTGAGAATTCAGATGCAAAAATTAAAAAGCATCAATCAATGCAAAACACCAAAAAAAAAAGTAAAAGCATTCGAATTAAAAAAAAAGACTAAAAATACCTGACAAAGCTGATGTGGACACCGAGACTCCGGTGAACGGCTGAGCAATCGATGCAGAGAAAGATCCCATATGTAACCGACGCCCATGTCGGATTCTTCGCATTACAATCAAAACACGTCTATAAAAAATACAAAAAAAGCTTAATTTTAAGATGCAGTAACAGAAATTCCAGATCTGAATCAGATCTAAAAACATATTATACAAAAAAATCCAAAATCCAAAAGAAAAAAATAAAAAAACCTTGTTTTCTGATTTTGCTTTCAGCTTTCTGAAAACAGCGTTCTTGCCATCTTTTCCTCTCACCTTTTTGTAATTTTCTGGTGGCTGGTTTTGGAGAAGATTTAATATGTTCCGAAGAGGTGTGGGATCGAACACCTCCTCCACAGGCTTTGAGAATTAGAGAAGAAGAAGAAGAAGAAGAAATCTAGTAGTATTAAAATAAAGCTGACTCCGAATTTACTACGAAAACAATTTACTAAAACTATTATTATTATTAAAGTTTATAATATGAAAATCACCGATTATTATTAGACTTCATTTTTAACTTAAAGATGAGTAATTTCAATATTTTTAGAGTTTCTGATTATATTTTATGGAAAATATATATATTATTTGAAATTTATTATAATTATAGTAGATATAATAAATACGGTATAAAAATTAAGATATAATTATATTATGTTTAATAAATATACCTAAAGTTAAAAATTATCTTAATTTTATTTTCTTATTAACCTAAAGGGATTATAAAGTAATATCTATTCTAACATTTGACAACAAAAACTTAATCTGCAGTTGCTGATACTCGAACCTATGACTTCTAAAAATAATAAGCATTCATTTAATCACTAAAATAATTAGATTCATATTCTTAATTGTATTTCTAAGTATTCATCAATTGACAACCTTTTACCTATTTCGAAAAAAGTAAATAATTTAAAACATTATAATCACCATCTATTATACATTAATAATGATTATTCTATTTTATATAAGAGTAAAGTGCAAAAATAATCCTCCGACTATAGAATAATATTTATTAAGTCATCTGATTATTAAAAGTTATAAAATGGTCATCCCATTATAGAAAGTTATTTTGTTGAGTCTCTATACTATTAAAAGTTATAAAATGACCACTTGACTATTCATTATGTTTTAAACTCATCTTTTTCGTTAAATTTTTTACGACAATCTAAAATGTATGTTAATATGTTGACTGAGATATGATAAAATTTGATCTCATAATCGCGAACGACTATCATATTTCAGTTAACATATTAACGTCCAGCTCATACGATCATTAATTTTTTAAAAGAAAATGATGAGTTTGAAACATAATAAATAGTCAAATGATTATTTTGTAACTTTTAATAGTCGAGTGACTCAACAGAGGAACCCCTATAATTGAGGGATCATTTTATAACTTTTAATAGTCAATAGACTAAATAAAGTAGTGTCCTATAATTAGGGGACCATTTATATATTTTACCCTTTGTTTAATCAATCAAATAGTACGCTTGAATGTGATCTTTAGGAGACGGATTCATATAACGACCACGGCCCTTGGTTTAGGGTTCCCACGACCATATTCAGATTACTAAAAGGCTCAATTTCAAGTATTTGGCAGCCCCTCGTTTGTTTTCCAAATAGCATAATTATAAAATTATATTATATTATTATCAACGTCGATTTTTCTTTTAAAAAGAGTATAATCACAATTATAATTTAATTCAATATAATAAAAACTAATAGAGTTTCATTTCAATTGATATTTGTAAAAGGCCATGAATTCAAATGTAGTCGTAAATAATTATTTTTTATTTAGAGATTTAAAGATATTATAGATGGTTTAACTATTAAATTAAAAATTTATTAAAATATAATTATCTGCAGCAAAAATCAATTATCATGATGCACAATCTAATCAGTAATTAAAATATATTCAAGCAAAGTACATAAATGATGAGACCCAATCAACATAAAATTAAAATTAAACTCAAATGTGATATTTACGAGTCCTAACCATCCAAAAAATATTATTATTTAACGAAAATTTGTTCTACTAGAAAAAATAATCAGGATTCGAACTCCTACTTAATAATATAGTGTCTCATCCTACAAGAAAAAATATCTTTATTTTAATAAATCGTGTAAAATAAAAGAATGATTAACAATCTTTAAATTATGTGACATAAATAAATATTATTTTCATATATAATTTAAAAAGGAAATGTCAAATCTGTAAAGAGAACTTTAAATGAGGGAGTTATTACAGTAAATAAGTCAAAATCCAAAAAATCAATGAGTGCCGTGGTAGGTCTTTTTTAAAAATTAATTTCTGAATTAATATCCATAACACATTAATTTTTGGATTGATTTTTTTTATATAAATGCTTACTACATCATATTTATGAGTGTCGTGGTAGGTCCTTTGATCTAAACATTACCAAAAAAATAATTGGGTAAAGTACACCAAACTCTCCATCGATTATAGGATTTTTTTTTATAAAAAATTCAAATTTTGGGTCGGGTACTCGGCTCGACATTTCCCAGGTCAGGCCCGAGTCACAAAATTAAAATTTTCGGGTATCTGGAGGTTACATTTATTTTTATAATATAATAATATTACATATTTGATTATTAATAATTTTTTATATTAAATTAAACTAATAAAATTAATTAAAAATTCCAACAAAAAATACTTTAAAATTATATGTTTGGATGTTAAAGTATGTAATTCGAATATTTAAATTTGTATATGTTTTTTTTAATTAATAATTTAAAAATGATAAAATAAATTCGAATTCCCAATTACCAAGTACCCACAAAATTCAATCGAGACACATACTGGTCAATCAACTACCTGAAGACCCGGATACCCGAAACTTCGGCTACCCAAAAACCCGAGTAACAGAATTTGAACAGCCCTAGTAACATATTAATTTCGTTTGGGGCCATATAAGATTGAAGATAAATGTGCAGACGCTATGTGATTGGAGTTCAACTTGGAAGCCCATTAACTTGAAACCGTGGAGCCAGCATGGCCTCTTTTGGCAGAAGATGAACCAATTAAATAACCTTAGAAAACGCCTCAAAAGTAGGGAAAGATTATCATTTGACAAACGACAGTCCACCTAAACATTTTTGGCATATAACTTTCTCCTCGTTTTATCTCTCTATAGACAGCTGCTCCTTGTATATGCACCTTTTATTTCTTTATAGGGTACCTACAATTATTACTACAAAACACGGATAAGATCTTGCATCGTTTGGCACACAACTTGCCCACTTGCATCCTTTACCCAATTGACCCTTCCCCTAATAAAAACGCCAAGTCGTTTTCACACATATTGGTTCAAGAGCTAAGATCTTAATATTGTTTAAATAAGATTTCGAATTTAAATTATTATGTATGTAAAATCTTTGTCGGAATATTACTTCATTAAAATTATGCATGCGACGCGAATCAATTTGAATTAATCAGGACAAAACCTTAAAATTAGGAAAAAAACCAAAAAAATCATTTTAGATCCAGACTTTGTTGTCACCAGGGGTGGTGATTGTGAACTCAGTGCTCCATCACGTGGTTTGGAATTAGATTGCCCAAAAAAGAAAGGGTCAACAATTAATTTATTGCCATCCTCATTTTTGATCAAATATCTCTTACTCTGGCCCATCTAAAGACAAGCCTAAAATGTGATTCGTCATAAAACTTCAAAATTGAGAGACACTACATATGAATGTCATTTAAGCCGGTCTATATATAATATCATAGGCGTGGATGATGGTGTGCAGGAGGGGCGACCGCGTAGGGCCTCAAAAAATTGGGCCCCCGAAATCGAGTATAACTATAGTGACGTTTTTTCAATAAACGCCATTATAGATGAATCTATTGCGGCGTTTGTCAAAAAAAAACCGCTATTGTTGCGGCTTTTATTGAAAAACGCCACTATAGATGGACCTGTTGCGGCGTTTGTCAAAAAGCGCCACTATTGTTGCTCCGAAATCGAATATATCTAGAAAATAGGGGGATCTTTATAAGAATTTGTACAGGGCCCCCGACAACCTAGCCACGGCCTGTATAATATTTGTGTCCTAACGATATTTACATTACACAAATATTTACATTTGAAGAGTAAATAAATTTTCTGTTTGATTATAAAAAAGTGACAGAGAAAGTTATAAATGAATATTTTTACAATATCTATAATCCTTTTTCATGATGGATTTTGGTAAAAGAAATCTCGTAGATCACTCGTAATTTCAAATTTGATAAATTAATATTTATTATAAAATATTATAAGGGCTTCATTTTTAAAATAACATAGGGCCTCCACATCATTTGAGACGGATCTGCACTTACTTAGAAGCCGTGAAACTTTGGACTAAACCTTAAACCCTAAAAATGAATCAAATATAAATTCAGACTAAATCTTAAATCCTAAACCCTGAAAGGTTGTCTTCATGATCAGTAAATTAAATATGAAGATCCTTCGTTTAAACGATAAAAAAAACAATGTAATAACTCTTAGAAGCCACCCTATACGAATTTACCCAAAATATTAATTTAATAAGCTCCTCAAACATAGATTATTTTCCTCCTATCATAGAACAATATATTTGAATTCACCATAGGTTCCAAATTTGATTTCTTAATGACTTGTGCTCCTAAGATGTCTAAATGATAAGGGCTACGTACGTGCATTTCAAGGGCTCCCTAAAAAGAAAGAAACTAGCATTAACGAGCACAAAAAGCTTTAAAGGGAGATTTAGGACAATGACCAAGTAAAAATAGTACGGGGAAACCTAATGAGTCAGCCCTGGACTTTTTATTACAGATAAATCTCCAAGATCCAAATCTCATACAGCAACTTAAAAACTCTTTAACATGGAAAGCCATGACAGCTTTTGCTAAAACAGTCATGGCCGGCCCAAATATGCATCACCTTGATGTTACAGTTCAGTAATGTAAGAGCCGGCCGTCATGCATAAACTAAACTATATACGATCTCATAGAACTAGAAACCCTACTGATAACGACACTCAGACAAGGAAAATAATGGTAGCCCTAATAACGGTCTGTGCATGATTGTGATCCAACGGTTCAATACCCAATGTAGGGTCAATGCAGGCACTAAGGAACCCTCACCAGAAACTCTCCCTTTTTCCCTGTAATTTTTAGCCTTCCAAGAAATTCCACCATAGGTCACCTACCCCCCGCTCTTTCTCTCTCTCACTTTTTGACAGTAGATTTCTGTTGCAGGAAAACGCAGTCCCACGTTGAGTCTACTAATGAATCATTAGTTCATATATAGGTAGACATCAAATTGTGGGCGATGTGGAGGTAGTGGACTCTCATCTCTTAGTTTATCGAGGAGTGGAAAATAAGAAAGAAAGCAAATATCCTATTGGTAAAAGAATATGATGAAGAAAGCAAATGAATCGGATCTAATTTTTTTTTCAAGATCCAAATCTAAAAGTTTACTTAACAAGTATCGAGTTCTTTAGCATTTGACCCATAAATCTCAAGATCTTAGTCACTTTAAGTGGTTAGAGTTAAATGCTCATATGCATATACTTGCATTATACAAAAAATAAAACAAAATGCAGTTTGATATCGGTTCAAATGATCAAACATTCGTGTACAAATGCAATGGAGAAATAGACATTTAAATTAAAAAATTTCATATATTATTTTTTATTTTTAAAGTATTCTTAGTGTCACTCCTAACCCTATTTGTCCATTTAATTTTGTTTCTTTTTTCTGCAATTATTTTTTCACATCACCTGTGGTTTGTTATTACCGTCGGCAGCATCACGCGCTAAAGCTTCGGTGACGGAGGCCAGCTGCTGCAAGTTCAGCTTGACGACTGTATCGGCGAACAGTCGTGTGTCTTCCTCGGAATTTCCTTCCGGAATATCGACGACGTAGGATTCCAAAACGACGGTCCAGATCCTCCCTTCACGCTCGAAACCATGCACCGTCGTCACCGACCGGTAATTACGCAACCGGTGCTCGCCTCCGAAGACGCTGAATCCGGTTACCTGTCTCTCGTCGTCCAAAACATCGAGTCTCTCCGTGCTGGTGGAAGCCGGCAACCCGGATATAACGGTGACGTCACGCGTGCAACCCACGGCCATTTGGAAACCTTCTTTGACGGAACAGCTCTTGATGAAGTGTTTGTAAGTCTGGGGTTTGTCGAAGCGTCGGACGACGGACCAGACGACGTCGCGAGCGGTATTAATACGTTGGGTCAATAAGGAAGAACATTGACCCGGGCCAACTGAGTAGGTGTGGAACTGAGTGATGGAAGCGATCAACTCGGAGAACTCTTCGTGGGTTAACCCGGCAGGGATGGTGAGATGGTGCGAGGTGGGTCTGGAGCAAGGTGGCGGGTCGGGCATTGAAGAGGAAGGCTCGGGTTTCGGGTCTGCCATTTTACCTGAGGAAAAAGGACGAAGAAGAGAAGGGGAATGCTTACAACTTTAGCAGGAGTTTATAATCGACGGGGATTACGGGGAATGGTGAAGGGTAAAATAGGAATTGAATTTTTTATATAAAATTTTAAGGACCTAACACCCTCAAACTGTGATCTATATTCTAAATTGGTTCTCTATCTTTAAAGTATTCTAAATAGTATTCAATGTATTTGTATTGCAACAATAAAAAAAGGCGACGTGATGGGATGGATCGTCGGGGAGCATGTGAAGTGTCACGGTTCGCACGTGACAAAGTTAACAATTGGGTTCAGATTCAGAGAATTCGATGTTAGGTTGCCGAACATGAAAGTCTGGTTTCTTTATTTTTTTTTTGTTTAGGATAAGGGTAAAGTACATAAATAGTCTCTTAATTATAAATACTATTTTATAAAATATTTCTGTTAAAAAGTTATAAAATGATCATTTAATTATAGAATATTATTTTGTTAAGTTCTTCGATTATTAAAAGTTATAAAATAGTGACCTGATTATTCATTTTGTTTCAAACTCATATCTTTTCGTTAAAAAATATTGTTATCATGATGACTGAGATATGATAGTTTATATGAGATTATGAGATTAATTTTTATCATATCACAGTTAGCATGTTAAAGTTCAACTCAAAATACCGTCAATTTTTAACAAAAAAGAAAGAGTTTTGAACATAATAAATAGTCGAGTGACCATTTTATAACTTTTAATAGTCGATAGACTCAATAAATTAATATTCTATAGTCAGGAGACCATTTTGTAACTTTTAATAGGAGGGGCACGAATCAAGTGACCTCCGTGATAAAGAAATTATTGTTATTCCTTGAGGACCCGAATTCGAGTATCATTTTATAACTTTTAAGAGTCAATTGACTCGACAAATTAAAACTCTATAATTTTTTATCAGAATACTGATTCTAAATTATGTTTCATCTAATTCTTTTATTTTTATTATATTATTTTTTTTACTGAAAAAATGATAACCAACTAATTCAGGCCTCGCATATTGATTTTTATTCCCATAATAGAGGGTAAGGTCTAAGGATCAATTGACCCAAAATCAATATATATATATATACACAAGGATAGATCGAAAGAGTGACTGGATAATCGTTTCCTTAAAAATTTAAAATTACTATATATTTTAATTTTTTTATGTATTTTTCTTTGAAAATATATTTTTATTCTTTGAAATTTTATAAATTTAAGTTTACTATCTAAATTCAAATATGTCCCTATAACATAAAATCTTATGTCCATATCATACGCGACCGTATATTAACGGTGGGGGAAGGAGGACAATGATTATTCAATATTTTGGAATTGTTTATGTGAAATGCATGCTGTCCACTTGCAATCTATGTTTCTATATATTTTTGACTTGTAAATCATGGGAGGCTTCAAGTCCCCATGAGAGATGCCTTAGACTACAATAAAAAACCAGCTCATGTTCAATCATACTGTATCTTGGTCAAATTTTAGACGCGTATATAATACGCGAATAGTTTAAATTTAGAATTTATTTGTAATAACATTATTAAAATTTAATATGGTTATATTTGACTGAATCATAAGTAGAGTGATGTTTTTAATATTTAGACGTTATTTATATCTGAATTTTATTTTTCCCAACGTGTTATATACAATGAATACAGACATTCATATGTAAAAATTTACTTTATAATATATATATATTGATGGATGCTTCATGATATAAATACATGATTATTTGGTGGTCCAATTACCAGGTTCAGGTTGTCCACTTGACATAAAAGGATTTTCAAATCAGATGATGTGAATTTAACAACAACAACAACAAAACCCTATTTCCATATAGAATAAGGTAAGGAGGAGGTAGGGTAGTAGGCTGTCCCCAATGCTAGGTTGAGAGCAGCTTTCGTGGAAGACCTCCGACAGTCAGAAAAATTAAAAATAAAGATAAAATGCAATAAATACATAGTTGAACAATATTCATATGCGCGTCTGTAATGAGAAGTAGTCTCTGCTAATAAATCTGTGCGTAAAAATCTCTGCATATAGACAGAAACGTAATACCCGGTTAAATGTAAAAGAGGACACATGAAGAGAATGATACACTGAAGTCAACCATATTAAGCTACGATAAGGAATAAAGTCAAATATGTTAAAACCTAAACTTATACAACACTATCCCACTACCCTAGTTAAAAGCCTTCATAGATTTCAATGGCAGAAACGTATAAAAAAGTAGCCTTCATAGATGATGTGAATTTAATATTGCCTAATTCCTAGGGGGAATAAGTGATTATGTGATAAATTAGGTCTAATTTCTAAAGGCGAGAACATGACCAATTGAGCCAAATGGGTGTGGATTTCAGTAATTAAAAGAATAATAATTATTTTAGATGTTTCGAGTTCATATTAATGACATAAGGATATTTAAATATTCATTATCAAATAACTGAGAGTCTATAGAATAAATATCATCACTAGTAATCGCATTAAATTAATAAAAGAAGCTGAATTTGATTCGAACGAACAATTTTTTCCGTTATTTTATTCTTATATAATATTTTTTTTGAAAATAATGAAATAAAAGATTAACCAATGGATAATGATGCTGCATCGTTTCATCAAGACAAAATACAAACGCAAATTTTGAACACTTGACTTGGTGGCCCCAAGTGAGAGCATATGCTTATTGAGGTTGCTTAAAACGATTGATATTGATACGTAATTTTAATGATAAAATATACAGATGATCATTAAAGTATACTAAAACAATTTCTTGAATTTAAGAGTAAAGTATACGAATGGTAATTTTTAGTTAAGATTTTGACAGTAATTTGATATGTACGTTTACTTGCTGATTGATATATGATAAAATCTGATCTCATAATCTCAAATGACTATCGTATTTCAGTCAACATGTTAATGTTAAACTCAGACGACCGTTAAACTTTTAACGGAAAAAGACGGGTTTGGAACATATTGAATAGTCGTTTTACCATTTTGCAACTTTTAATAGTCGAGTGACTCAACAAAACAACTCTTTATGGTCTACGAATCATTTTATACTTTTAATAGTCAAGCGATTCAATAAATCATTATCCTATTGTTGATGAACTATGTGGACTTTACCTTTTTTTTGATCACTTAAATTTCATAAGTAATAAAATAGTCACTAAAATTTTTAAATGATAAGAAAATTATCATGCAGTGACCATTTTATAAATTTTAGTGAAACAATCATTTCAGAAAGAGAATATTAAAGCCATAATGTCTCAACCATGCAGTATTTTGCAGGGAAGTAAGAATGAGAAGTCGGGATGGGCATCGGTTGGGTTTTCGGCCTATCCGACTCGACTCTAAAATTTTACATCTTCCATCTAACTAGAAAGTTACTTTCTATCCAACTTGCTTTTTCGAGATAAAATCATAATTTGATCCAATCCAACCCTAAATAATATGTTTATTAAAAATATTATTTTCATTCAATAAAAATATAGATTTAATTGAAAAAAGAATATATAGAGGGATATTATTGTAATTATTTTTAAATATATAAGGTAAAATTACAAATTTTCTGGACTAGGTTGGGTCGGTTATTTTTCACCATAAACTTGAATCCGACCCGAACATAACATCTAAAAAATCACCCGACCCGACATGAACCTCAATTTTTTTAAAAATCGGACCTAATCGAGTCGGAACTTTTTTTTAAAAAAAGATTGAGTTCGGGTAAGATCAATTTTTTAAATATTATGTTTGGGTCGGATTCATATTTTATGTTAAAATGATGGATCGAGTTCGAATTAAGGGGAAAATATTTAATTTTGAATCGATTAACCAAAATCCGACCCATCCACATAAGGTGGTTAAAGGGCAGATATCTTTAGTAAGAATGAAGGGTCCAGCGAGATTGACTTCGAATCTTTTGGTTACATCAACTTGCCCTATAAACTGCTTTCACATGAGGTTGAAGTATTGGTAAAAGTGGGGTCAAGTGGCATACATCAAGCTGGAACTTTTGTATACATCGCTAGCCAATCAAATCATCCAAAATTTCTATACTTTTCTGTCAAACCCCAATTCCATGGGTCTCAGAGTATTCTGGTAGAAGTTCCAAAGCTTAATCCTTTACACCGTTTAAGACACGATCAAAGTTGCCGAAAGAAAAGCTTCAAAGGGTTTGGTGATCAAATGACGAAGAAGCAGGAATCTTAACTTGAAAACGTAATCAAATGACGAAGGAATCGAAGTCGATAGATGGCTAAGACCCAACCCAGGGGGATCAAATCTGGTGAAACGAAAACCCATTAAGATTCAACTTACGAACCAAAGAGTATAGACACAAGTAAAACTCTTGCCAGAAAAATGACAGCGGCAGTTCCCAAAAAAAAAAACCGCCTACAAGTTATCATTATATAGTTGTTTGGTAAGATTTTTATGGTTAAACTTGTTATTAGGCCCTTTACTATGTGTAAATTACTATTTAGTGTTTATACTCTAATTCGATCATTTTTTTTATAACAAAATCATATATTAGGACTACTCCTAAATTCATTTATTATTAATCTGTTCATTTTAATATGTATACCTTTCCAACTTTGAAAATTTGGTGTTGAATGTTGATCCAAACAATAATCATTAAATCTGTTATTAATTCTTAGATTGTGAGTAAATTATAGACTTAATTCTTATTCTCAAGTTGATCATTTATACACCTCACGATAATGTTAGAATTGACAAAAATTTAAAGATTCAAATACTAGAAGGACTAAAATTAATTAAATTAAAATATATGATTTATAATTCTAATGCGCACATGATATAGAGACTAATAGCAGCATTTGACCTTTTCTTAACGGGTCTCTTGAGGTGGGCGGCGGTTAGACGCTTTTCAAAGAATTTAGGCATAAAAGAAACACGCGAAATGGATCTCTGGGTTTTCGTAGTTCGCGCAACAATTCAACGTACGCCACTAGGTCCATCAGCCCACACGAAATGCAATTCCCGTAATATTTTTA